CCTCACAACTTCTCCCTACACAAAGAAAGAACAACAAACGTGTTTTCTTCCTTTGTATACTCTCTCTCACATGCACACAATATTTCTCTCTATTTCTCCTCACTTTTTCACGTCTCGGAATTCTTCTCTCTCTCTCTCTCTGTTTCTTTTTCTCCTCTTTTCACGTCAACTTCAATTGTATATATAGCCATAAATTATGCCAAAAAGTTACATAATTTCAATTGAACTCTCTTAATTATTTTCTTTATATAATAATACCAAAAATATCATTTTCCTTTTCTACTTGGTAATATTTCCATAAAGAAAAATACTCATAATTTAACTTGACCACTTTTTTTTGCTTTTCTTGTCAAACAAGAATTCTTTATTCCATAATTATTTTGGTCAATCCCAACACTTGCACGGTTGGATCGCATTGGAGTTCCCTATATACATAAGTGAGTTAATTTGTCTCATTCTTCTAAGGTTGTAAGACTGTTTTGTCCCATGGTTTTCCTCCGCCACAAGTGAGGGTTACTTTCAATAAAACTACTTTCGTGTTAAAAAAAAATGAATTAGAATTGATAACACTCGAGATTATAACTTTGAGAACTACCTAATCTAATACCACGTTTTGAAATTAAGAACATGAGTCCACAACTCGGGAACGTTGCGATGAATGACAAACACGACTTTTCAACCAAATAAAGGTATTCGTCACTATGGTACGCTTGATGGCTAAATGTGTGGAATCTAACAGATGGGCAGGCAAAGTAAATAAAATGGTCCCAAATTTTCCAGAGCCACTAGAGTTTTTGAGCAGTGAAATTATATGGTGTAACTTACAATGTCCACTCCACAGCTATTTAATTTATGGATGGAAAGATACACACTGTATCATCAGTAAATCTATCGACCATGTTTAATCCTATCCTGAATGTCATTAATGGAATTGTGGTCCTTTCAGCCAATTTACCTGACAAAACAGAGACCAACATCCTTACAGAAGGTTCAATAGTCACAATCTGTGTGCTCGTTTATTTAAACGAATGTCGAACGTGCTGGTTGCATCTTTTGGCAAAAATGAGATAATATACGAATAATATAAACTCGAATAAATGCATATAAAAACACATAACACTAGAGTGTGCTGTTGTTAGAAGATTATCCACTGTTTCACAATTTGTATGTGAGAATATTTTTTGACTCGTCTAACATTGTACAGTGCTAAAAGTTCATTCAGGGTTCTTGCAGTTTTCCGGGATAATGTCCCAAATGCACATCTTAATTCTAAGATTTAAATATTGAGAATAGCATGATAAGGATCACAGACCAAATTTACAAAGAAGACAATATTCACATGCAGAATAATAGGGTGATAGAACAGATGTCATGTCATGTATCTGTTTTTATCAATCCCATCAGAATATTATATCTAATATTGGTTTTGAGGTTGTTCTTAGTTTCGATTTGTACGAAAGTCGTTGACATCAGAATTTGTTTGGCACTTCTAAACAACGTTGTGTGGAAGAGAATCTTATGCACTAGATCGATGGGGTGTTTTTCTTTTTCCTTTTTTCTTTCTTAGTCTATCGACTACTAAACCAACATTGATTAGCATTTCGACCGCCCCACCATTTCTCACGCTTCTTAAAAATCGATTCTGATATATATGAAAACATACCTTCTACAGGCAGAAAGTGCAGTTTTTCATCCAATATCAAATGATAGCCTCGTTCACTGACCTCCGATGGAAAGCTAAAGAGGCTGACTCATGGACTTGCAAAATTAGCTCTCTCCTGATTTCAATGTAATGTCTGGGACTGGTTTGATAGCCACTGAACAAGCATTGTAAATGTTCTTGCAGCCGACGCTAGTGAATAATATTTGTCTATCTTGAACTGAAAAATAAAAAAATATATAGATTGAAGAACTGAAACTAGTACTATTACAAGCTCATTAACCTCTATATATACTATCCCATGTTTTAAGTTCTCTGATTTGCAGAAACTGCAGGCTATTCAAGAATCTGCTAATGCCTTTGAGAAGGTGATCATAAAAAATTGCACAAAATAGAAATCAAATAGAATATCTGTAGAGCATTAGGTTAAACGAAAACAGACGAGTCTTCTGTAACAACTGTAAACTAACCATTGTTTCCAACAAATTCGAGATCGACTGCATAAATATTTTTTCTTAATTCGATTTGGTCCAATTAAGTCTTCTATTACAACAACAGACTATCCTAGTAGACAGGTATCACCATAGTTGCTGACTGATTCACACATACAAGCAAAAGTTCCTCAAATTTTAGCCTGAAAGACAACTTTGAAAACAACCTTCACAAAATTAAGTTTCATATTACAAGTATGACAAGTAAAAGGATCTTGATCATTATTTACACAAGTTCAAATTTGATGCAAGCTAGTTTTATTAAACGGCTCATGGGACCCACAAGATGGTAATTTTTAAGCTAGTGAAATGCAGGCTCAGTAGCCATTATTCCCTTTTGAGGAAAAAAATCTGCTAAATCCCCGAGAATGTTTCTCTGGGGTGGGGGTAGATGAAGAAGAAGATGAGCCTGACATTGTGGGCCGATGTTTCGGAGGCTTTGAACTGACTGGTGATCTCAATAGATTGTTTGCTTCAGTGTCCGATGGACTAAACATGGAATTATGCAGATCTAGGGGAGACTCGGAGCCTGCCCTCTGTAAATTGGTAGAAGAACCGGTATCTATCTCGACTCGATCGGTATCTTGCAAATTTGTGCCACTTATGGTTGGTTCTTCCTCATTGAGGTCTTCACCCTTCCCACTCCTTACATTACGTGGTGAAGCTACAGATTCTGATTGAGGACGCAAAGTTTTCAACTGCTTACCCAGAAGAAATATGGTTTCTTGACACTCTGCTAGTTTTTCTGCTGCAGCTGCCAACTCTTTCTCCTGGAAGAGAAAAAGATGTGTGCTTATTGGATTTGACCTACTTAAACAAAGTTTCAAGGATCATTCGTAAAAATAAAAAAATTGATAGACATGTTAGATACATTCCAACAAGTATACTACATTCACAATTTAGGAAGACTGATATTGTTCTATAAAGTGTAAACTGAGGAATGGAAGGCCATGTAACATGAAATAGTGAAAAAAAAAGGAAGAAGAAGAAGAAAAAAGAACAAGTAATTTCCCAAGGATTTATAGAATAAGGAATCACCAAAAGAATCCATGTGGAACCATGGTATAAGGCTTAATTAAAGTTCAGATAAAATTGATGTCTTCAAAATCGTCAAACTAAGTTTGTCTCGAGAAATTTAATCCTCACGCAAATCCCCAACCCAAAATGTTATAAAACAATTCCATGCCTTTTTTATTTTTGTTCGATTCAATTGAAACCTTCAATTGCTTAGAAAAAAAAGGCATAAATTTAGAATTTTGAACATAATGTTGTTAACTCCACATGCATGGATCTTTGCCCTCTACGGAAGGTTTCAAGAAAAACCATTGGCAACAAATTGATTGGTCATTAACACATAAAAGATGGGGAGAAATCAACAAATGTTTCTTGACAATAGCAAAATGAAGAATAGAGAACATTATTAGAGTGTAAAAAATTTAAAAGATACTCTCTATTATAATAAGACGCTTTTTATATAAAGAGAGTCACTTGAAGATACTCTAAAGCAACATGTCTTACATAAAGCTTCGAAGGCAAAACTTAATAGAATAAGATTGTATTGACTATAGATAACTTAATGAGTTAAATGATGAAAATGCAAGATGGTATTTACGAGAGTCACCTGGTTAGTCTTGGCATCATTATCAGCTGTTGAACAATTCTCAATCCTGAAACAAAATATAAAGACTTATATGTCAGGAATTAGACGATGAAACTTTAATTCTATAAAATGTCATCTCAATATTGCAACAACAAATTGCATAGATATCAGAGAGCCCAAAGAACAGCTACTAACCAAAACAGACAAGCAAAGACTTTCGAAAAGACGAGATCAAGTCTGACAAACATGAACTGGCCAATTGTTATGACACTTTTACCCAATTTAAGCCAATCAATTGCAGGTGTATAAGTACAATAGATGCTGTGCAATAGACCTTAGTCCTCAGGAAAACACTGACAGCCTAAATGCTCTTCTAAAATCCAGGTCCAAACTATTAGTTTGAGCAGGTTTAGAAGAACATGAGTTCAGGAAGCTAACATGGGTCAGAAAAAATTATTACTAACCTTTGCAGCTGCTCCTGGAGATCTTTACATCTGGTCAAGGCATCTTGATGATTTCTTCTCTCCTCCTGTAGATCATTATCAAGACTTTCTATTTTTCCATGGAGGAGATTTATTTCAGTTTGTAACTCCTCTGCCCGAGTTTCAAGTGATTTGTAGGACTCAGCCATGCATTTGAGCTGTGTCTCAGCCAAGCTATTGGACTTCTGAGCTGATGTTAATTGTGACTTCACCTCTGCCAGAAGCTGTTCTGTTTCAAACAACTGAGACTTGGTGCTTTCCAAGCTTTCAGTACATGTAGCAAGATCTGTTGCCATATTGTCCTTCTCCAATTTCAATTGTTCAAACTCCTGCAAAGAGCATTTCCATGAAGTAGCTGTAGAATCAGAGGTTGGAACAAGAATCCCATCATTAAGGAAGTCGGGGTCAGAATTGGGGTCAGAAAAGTGAGCACAGCCATTTGGATATCTTTCTCCAGATAACTCCACAACGCCCTTGTTCTCTGGTAAGGCGATCTTGTCTATACAATCAGAACTGCCTGTTTCAATTTCTGAATTTTTATATCCTAGTACATTAAAGTGAAGCTCACTTGCTTCTCTTAATACATGAGAAAGATCAAGAACAAAATCAATCAGATCTGTCCTCTTGTTTATAACTTCATTATATTTGGCAGAGAACGTATCTAGTTTTCGGTTCACTCCATCTCCATCAGGAGATGTTCTCTGTATGGTCTTAGCCTCTTTATCGAGAATCATTACAAAGTTGAATATCTGAGAAATGGCAACTTCTAATTCGTGGTTAATGGTATTTGCAGTTTCAATACATGGTTTACCATCTCCAGACAATGACTTCTCCTTTTCTACAGTTATCTCAGCATCCTCAGCACAAGTCTGGCTGTCAACTACAGTGTCAGAAAGAGTTGCCTCCACAACACAATTTGCTGCCTGGTGATGCAGAGTATCATGCATATCCTGTACAACACGTTTAATGTCCAGTAAAACTTTTTCCATGTCGTTCTCGGACATGGACTCAAGTACCATCGAAATTCTTGATTTCAGCTTCATAATGATGGGTAGGTCAGTTTGCAGCTGAGCTTCTGAATCACGATGCTCCCTAGAATGGGAATCTGTGCCTGAGGTGATTTCAGTTGAAGTGTCATGGTTCACAATCTCAGGTTCTGCATTGCCTTCATTAACTGATATATCTGAAGTTGAAACTGCTTCACATGAATCATTATAAGCTAATTTCTCCATCTCCAGGAAGTCATCCATGAGGCCTACATTATTTGCATTTTGAGACTTCTGTAAATCATTGACATTCTTTTCCTTCTTGAAATGAGAGAGATCAGACATCAATGATGTAGCCCATGATCCAGCACAACTCACAGCATCATCATTTCCATTTTCAGAGATGGTTGTGAAGCTTGGAGGATTGCTAGTGTCTTGAGTGTATAAACCTGCAATTGGGATCTGATCTTTTGGTTTTGCAGTACTTCTCTGCTCACTATTAACATGCAGTTGTGTTTCTAAACTTTGAAGCTTGCTGGCTGTCTTCGCACATGTACTCCTAGAGGTTTGCAGTTCACCATTACGCTTTGCTAATGCTTCTTTTAACATCAATGTTTCTTCTTCCATTGCTAATAGACGTTCTGTAAGTAGCTCATTCTCTTTCTGGTACTTTTGCATGTTGTCAGGCGAAAATTCAGGCATCTGGGACAAATGAGGAGTAGAAGGCTTTACTGGAGACCTTTTTAAACGAGATTCTCCATAATCCCTGCCCAAATTCTCAACTTCAAGCTTCATTTGGGCTAGTGCAGCAGGACCAGGTAATTTCTTACGAACTAGTCCTCGTAACCTTTGACACTCAGCTTCAAGCTTAGCAATTTTCTTTACTCCTTCTAGGTGGTGCTTGTTTGCTACTTCTGCTGACCGCACACTCATGTTCTTTTCCTCATTATAAATTTCAGCCTCTTTCCTAGCAATATGGAGTTCATATTTGAGTGAATTTATTTCCTTCTCGCAGGATTCAATATCACTTTTCAAACATTCGATCTCTTCCTCTGCTAGTGATTTTTCTTCACTTAGCTTGATCAGCATATTAGAGCGCTCTTGCAAAGACCTTGATAGTGTGGAATTTTCAGCATTAGACCTGAGTAATTCTTGCTCGAAATCAGCTATTCTTGCTTCAAGCTCGAGCTTCATCTTGTCAAACTGTTTTGTTTTGTTAAGAACAAGTTCTTGCAATGCTTGATCATGTTCTTCCTTCAGTAGTCGTATCTGTCTCATGCATTCCTTGAGAGCGCCATCCAAGTGTGATGCCCGATCTTCAGCAGTAAGCTTTAACAGAGTGACTGATTCCAGGTGATTTTTCAGTTCTGCAGCTTCTGATTCAGCCTTTTCCCAACCTGAAATATTTCAGTTTTTAAGTTTATTGACCTTGTACTGCATATTTTGTAAGCAGTATTAGACATGACTCGGCATTATAACAAAACAAAATTTACCTACTTTTTTTTTAGTACCATCTAATCAACCTTACCAAACACACTAGTATTGTTATGAGGACATGAAAAACTAATGTAAAAATAACCTAAATAAATTATTAGCTTTTTTAAATGTATGAGTCAGACAAACATGAAACCTGATACAGCCTCTTCCGCAACTTTAGCATGTTGTTTCACCAGGTTTTCTTTGTCGGTCATTTCTGAATGGGCTGCGGATAGTTTTTCATTTAGATCCTGTATTTCACCCTCCAAGATCTTCACTTGTTCATCGTAGGACTTTACTTGTTCATCGTAGGACTTCACTTGATCCTCCAATCCAGTAAGATGTGCATATGATTCCATTGAAATTTGAACATACTTTGGTTTTTTATTATCCTGTTTGGTCTGTCCACAAATAATAACATTTGATGGTAAGGATATAGGCAAAAATGAAAGTAATTTGACCATGATTGAAAAGGCCTAGGGAGCAAAGTAGCAGTTTTATTAGCATTTTTGCACAGAATATTCTGCTCAACTATTAAGATTAAGAAAGGAGAAAAATTATAAACAAAATTATCAAAAATGAACAGCCCATAGAAAGGTGGAAAGGAAAAGATGAAAGAAATTTGCTTGGGAAATTATTTAAGGCAAAGCACTAGTGAATTTCCACAATTATCAAGCCGTAAAATGAACAAGATAATCAAGTATATGAACCGGACAATCTAGAAAGATATCCTTTAGAAATGCTATCCAGCCACTAGTGTTTATATATCAGAATCTATGCACATTGTGCTTAAATAGAAGTCCAGAACAGAATACTCTTGTTCCTAGATTTTCTATGGGGAATAAATTATTGTTTCCTTTCTCAAATACGAGCATAGCATACTATGATATTGAAAAACCTGATCAGCCTGAGTTGCAGCTCCATCTGATGAGGCAGTAGAAGGGATTGGTGCTTTCTCAGCCAGTTGCTTATCAGATGATTTTCTCTTCCAGGGCCAACTTCTTTTATCCATTGCAGTCTGCTGATGCAAACAAGATTTCAAAAAAGTCAACCAACATAGTTATCAAGAGATAAGTATTATCATTTGAACTGCAAAATGCACCAGATAACAAACAATGACAAAAACCACCAACATAGGCCAAGGCATGAACCACTTAGTTAATTTATATGGAAGCCTTAAGCAGAAGTTTATTATAAACAAAGTCAGTCTATAATTGTAGAAATACTATTTCTCCATCAAGTATAGACCTTATGGCTTAAAACTATTAAGTAAAATATAGAAACATTTATAGCATTTCTATAAATGCTTAATTTGACATTTCAGCAATGCCACAGCCTTTCTTTGAACATGGTTAGCGTAACAATGAGATTAAACAATGCTGATTCTAAAAATTTTATTATCCAACTACCAACTAAAGCCATATGCATGCCAAAACTCCCATGGACAGAAATGGAATTAAGCAGTCTAGAACACATATTCAGTGGTTTTGGACAGAACGGTTGTCCTACTGGGAAGGGTTATTTGTTCCAAAAATGTCTGACAACCGTAAAAATGGGTCTATGAACATTCTTAAATAAATTCGGCAATGTGTCTAACATCTCATGATCGAAGAGAAAACATGAGGGAGGATGGGGGGTTAATATTCAAATGTAAGTTGAGAAAAAATTATGAGAAATAAGAAAGAAAGTAGCTGAGACCTAAACAATCAAAAACCTTCCACACCTAAGACTAAAATCAAGAACAAATAATTGGAGGGTTAGATAAACATATACAAGATATTACTATCAAATCTTCAAGGCAGAATCTAAATTACATAAATAATGGAAATTGTAAGCCTGCAACTACCCGAAATAATTAAGAATAAGCCAGTGAGGATAAAGAAAATGATAGGCTAACAGAAAGAATGCAAAAATAACATGAATATGACATTCCCATAATATAACAAATTAATACCAAAAGAATAATATTGTACCCAAAACACTTCTTACATGCAGTGCTCCCAAGCTTTTATTATCCATCATCAAGAATATGAAATAATAAATAAATCAGGCCATTATTCACACAACTCCATCTAACAATGATATGAATCCAAAATATACCTTTAAATTCACAAAATGATTGAAAGTTAAGTCATTAACAACTATAGAAAACATCAGTAAAACAGCGCAGTTCTTCCCAACACAAGAAGGAACAGAAGTAGTAATGTTGTCTGAATCCAAATGTACTAACTGCTAACCATTGAAAACTAGAATTCCTGAACTAAGATTTGAAAACAAATGCATTGCAAAGAAGATTCACAAATAGATTTAATAATTGCGAATCAAAGATGATAGTAACACTTCATTACCAATTAACACTTATTCACATAAAACAGAGCCACAGCTGTGAAAATTTGAAATAAGAACAGAGAGAAAATGAGAAATACTCTCAAACTCAAACCCAGAAGCAAAGTATTTCTAAAAAGGTGGGGAAAAGGAGAAAAATGCACCAAGTTTGTGAAGCAAGAAAGAAAGAGATTTCAATAGCTATCCAGAACACAGAAAACAAAGCAAAATGAACAAAAGAACAAAAGTCAGCTAAGTTTCGATCCCTAAGTGACGCAATCCATTACCAAAACTTCAATGTAACGGAAGATGAACTATAAATACACATATACATACACATTACATACGTGTATGCGCTAGTGAATAACAAAAAAAAATCCCACTCACCAGTTCTTACTATAATTATTATTTATAGAAATGCAACTAGTTTACAGACTGTGAATTGGGGATGTAATTAAGAATTTAAGATCTGGGTCTTAAAATGCATTCATTTTACCGTGTGTCTGTGTGTATTAGAGAGAGAAAAAGTGGAGGAGGTGGTGGTGGTGAAGTGGTGGGGAAGGCGTGGGGGTTAAAATATTCTTTCTTAGGTGTCTCTTAGAAGCTGAGACGTTGGGAGGACCAAAACATCAGCCCTTCAAATTTGGAAATATAATAATAAAGTAGTTTCGTAGAAATAACTAATATTAATAATTTTTTTTTCCCGTAAAATGAATATTTATCGATTGTATCCGGGTTTTGATGGTGAATAAGAATCATAATAGTATAATAAAATGACGAAATTAACCATCAAAAATGAGATATTGCCACGTGTAGGACAGAATAAACGCGTGTTTGATTCCCATTTTTCTCGTTATATTGAGAAACGTGACCGTTGCAATTCAAAAAAAGACAACTCTAACGATCATATTTCTCATTATAATGAGGAATAATGGGGATCGAGCGGAGCCTAAAAGTGCAGCTGTATTTAGAAATTTGGAAGGGTTTGCGCCATGGACCACAGTGACTTTTGTGGAGGTGGTAGAGTCATTAGTCCAACTCATAATTTGAGTGTGGCCCATCTACACTTTTAGTGCCATGTGCACCGGTGGTATGTACGTTAGTGAAAGTTGAAAATAAGTAATATATTTTGAATGAGTAAAGCACTCAATCGGAAAAAAAATTATGATTCGTATTGGATGCACTTGGAAGGTTCAATAACTTTAGTTTAATCACCGCTCACATAAGTATTCTACTTCGGTATTTTATCTACCACTCGTTTTTATTTATTCATAAGAATCATTTATAAGCAATTTCAAACGTGCTTATGAACAACTTTCAAATGTGAATTCGTATATTTTAGAGGTTATAGATAATTCATCACAAAGCACGAGATTTCGACAATTAACAATTCATTATAATTCAAAAGGAAAACAAAATGAAATTTTTTAATTTTAATTTATAAAATGGCAAACAATTAGTTGGTCGTGTACAAGCATGTGCATCGGAGAAAACATAGGTTTGGTTAATATGTGGTTGTGGCGCATCTTTTAAAGATTTTTACTTCCCAATACAATCTGTTTTTGTAATTTACCAAAAGAGATATTCCCGATAATATTCATGTAGCTCGTGTAATTAATCACTTTGTTTCTTCTAATTTAACCAACCAATGTTTTAAAAATCAACTCAGTCATCTATCCAAAAAAGGGAAATGGTCAAAATGTTGAACTAGAGGTAGAACCGGTGATTTTTAAAAAATTTTAAAAAATATACATTTATAAAAAGTTTTAAAATATATACTTAAAAAATTAAAAAATATATATATACATTTACGTAGTTTGAACCGGTTAAACCAAAAAGGGGTCGCGGATTTTTCAAAAACCAGCCGGTTTAACGGGTTTTGGGGCTAGTTTTTAATATAGGTTTGATAAGTCTAATCGGATCGGTTTTGATCCTGGTTCCTAGTTTTTTCAGTTGAACTGGCCGGGCTGATTTTTAAAACACTGGATTTTATATTACGTATTCATTTTATCTAACTTGTTGTTAATAAAAAAATTATGTAATATAATAATATATTTTTATTAATTACAAAAAGAACAAAGCGGGAATCAAGAATTGTACGAAAAACACAAATCGCTAAAGAGAGAACATATTTACAAATCTAGGTATGTGTATTACACTGTATCCTTGAAAACTAGTTCGCTTCCTCGTAAGTGCTTGAGGTTACGTTGAACGTCTATTTTTCAAGATACAACAAAGAAATCAATAAAAACTGAGCACCAAATTTCTTCTTCGACAACTGTGCTTGATCTGAACTATCGTCAAGACTTAGACATAAAACTGGAAATTTTTCAGACAACAGAGAAAAATTTCGGACCACATAATGAGGATTTTTTTTCTTTATGGATGATGAATAGAGGAAATAAACACAAGACTTTCAACTTTAGGAGTCCAAAAAGATGGAAAGTCAATTAAAAAATATAAGAAATAAAGACAAAACGTGAACTCTGCTGAAGGACCAACTTCAGTTCAACATTTGTATATGCAGATTGAGCTTACGCAAAAGTTCAATGGTGTGAGATGCTAATTACATCCGTGATTTGTATCCAATGTGCATACAAGTAAAGAGAGTCTCTATGCTACACTTGATTACATATTTCAAAAGTGTAATCGTACATAAAGTATAAGTTAGTTATTATCTTGTCCATTTTTTTATGCGGGACAAATTTAATTGTTTTTCCCTTCAAGAAATAAACCACTTCCATTTGATACACTTTGAACTTTAATTTCCCATTCATCCGAGCATCTTTTTTACAAATAAATATATGATTTCGATGTTTTTACGAAGGAAAATATGAATCTATTTTGGTCTTTCAAATAAATGAACGAGTTTCACTCAGAATTATGTCAAAATAGTCCTATATACAATCCATTTTTCCAACTTGTATTGCATCCAACTGATGTTGATATAAATGTGCACTTGAAGACTTATCGACTATATATGATATGATTCGACATCAGTATAAAATCAAGCAATTATTCAAAAGTGGGTGTATGATTATACGAGCTAGGACTGGAAATTCAAATATTAAGTTTCCCATCTCAATTGGTCACAAAGTAGTGGTCCATATTGGGTAGATCGCAATAAGAAGGCCATGCTTAGAAATTACTTTTCTTTAAAAAGGAAAAAAAAAATACATAAAATAGGAGCCACAAAAACTTGGGTGAGACCTACAACTTGATTATTTTGAGTTACAAAATAACAAAAAGTTTGTATTACACCCAAACACACCGTAAGAAGACATTTCTCAGCCCAATTTATTGATAAATACATTCTTCAAATTGAAATTATTATTAACTCTTTGTACATTTCTAATTGATTTTTTTTTTTTTACTAAATAATCTTTATTTTGTTTATTTTCGAACATTTTAATTTTTTTTTAGTTCAAAGTATATCGCCGACAGGTATTTACTTCACAATACAATTTAATGATTTAACTTGTGGAAAGCATAGCGACAACCATTTTATCCCATCCTTGGAAACCATCATGAATGGCCTGCGCAATGATATGAAGCACATCAATATTTTGGTCTTGAAGAAATTAAAAAAAAGTGGTGAAAAGGGCATAAAATTCTCTTTAATTAGTATAATAGTTACGCACTTTACGATGCCGTAAAAAAAAAAAAAATTAACCAACGATCGACCAA